ACAGCTCAAGGGCATCAGTTCTCCTATCATCCCTAGTCATTGTCCAGCTCTCTGATGCATAACAAATAATTGCAAAGACTATGGCCTGTATCAGGCACACCTTAGTCTCCAGACTGACATCATTGCTCTTCAGTACTTTGGAAAGGTCCCTAACAGCAGACTTTCCCATGGCAATGCGCCTTTTAATTTCCTGGCTTCTGATACCAAGAGCGTTGATTGTGGAGCCAAGCAAACTGAAGCTGTTAACAATCTCAATCTCTTCACCACCAATCATGGCGCTGCCAATTGGCCCAGTGGTGGGAATCTTTGTTTTCTTCATGTTGAGCTTCAATCCATATTGAAGGCTGCACTTCTTAACCTTCTGCTATAAGTACTTCAGGTCCTCTTCAGTTTCAATAAGCAAGGATGTGTCATCTGCATAACACAGGTTGTTGATGAGTCCTCCAATCCTGATGCCACGTATCTCCTCATAGAGCCCAGGCGCCTGGATAATCTGTTCTTCACATAGGTTGAAAAGGCATGGAGATAGGACAGATCCCTGGTGTATACTCTTTCCGATTTTGAACCATGCAGTGTTTCCTTGCTTTGTTCTGACAACTGTCTCCTGGTCCAAGTATAAGTTTCATATAAGCACAGTCAAGTGTTCTGGGATTCCCATTCTTCCAAGAGTTAGTCACAGTTTGTTGTGATCCACACCATCAAACACCTTTGCAGTAAATGAAACAAAGATAGATATTCTTTGGTACTCTCTGCTTTCAGCCAAGATTCATCTAACATCGGCTACAATATCCCGAGTACCAGGGCCTCTTTCCAAATCCAGCCTGCACTTCAGTCAGTTCTCTGTTGATACGCTGTTCCAATTGCTTTTGGATAATTTTCAGCAGAATCTTGCTTGCATGTGATTGATATTAATAATATTACTCAATAATTTCTGCACTCTGTTGGGTCACCTTCCTTTGGAACGGGAACAAATCTTTTCCAGTCAGTTGGCCGGGTGGTTGTCCTCCAGATTTCTTGGCAGAACTCGGTGAGCACATCCCAGACAGCGTCTATTTGTTGAAATATCAATCAGTATACCATCAATTCCGGGGACCTTGTTTTTTGCCAATTTTTTCAGAGCAGCTTGAACTTCTTCCTTCATCACCACAGGCTCTTGCTCACATGTTGTTTCATGAAATTCTTCAATGTCATCCAATTCCTTTTGGTTCAATGACTCTGTATACTCTTTCCATCTTCTTGTAATGTTTCCTGGATCATTTCATATTCTGCTCACAGCTTCCTTAAGTACTGCAACTCGAGGCTTAAATTTGTTCTCCAGTTCCTTCAGCTTAAGAAATGCTGAGCAAGTTCAGCCCTAGAACAAATGACTGTGTGCTTTCTCAAGCTGTGCATCAGGGCCTAGGATGGAATGCTGGCACTAAATCCTAGAGCAAGGATTCTATTTTTATTTTTAATCCTATTTAGCTTTAGTTCTTAAGTGGAATCGTGGTTGGGCCAGTGTCCATTTCCTGATTAATATTCAGCAATAATTAGCATCATCGATTAGAAAATTAGTAGCTTATGACTTTATTGACACATCATTCTTTTTTTCCCTTTTTT